AAAAAAAGTAGCCAGGTATGGTGGCGCATGCCTGTAATCCCAGCTACTCGGGAGGCTGAGGCTGCAGCCTGGGAGGTGGAGGTTGCAGTGAGCCAAGATCACAGCACTGCACTCCGGCCTGGGAGAGAGAGACTCCATAAAAAAAAGAAAAAAGTCACTATTAATAACACCAAGACAATAAACCTACTACAGTAATTCAATAAGCCAACTGGTATGTCAATCCCTGATGATGTTCTTATTTTTCACCTTTTTTGAATGTAGACCCCAAACATCTCTAATGAAAATTCCATTTGCATAAGTAAACAAACTTAAATCTTTCTTCTTGATATTATAAAATTATGTCCTCTTGCTAATGCTTATGTATCTCTTTAAATTTTATTATCAAAATGACCTTACTGTTTCTATATAAGCATGACACATATAATATTTTACAGAAGAGTATGGTGATATCGTGACTATGTTTATAGAAAATACTGAGGTTATTACTTCAACCAGAGTAGCCTTCTTTTTTTCTATTTTGAGTGAGGCAATGTAAGAAACAATTGGCAAAACTCTTAACTTAGACAATCCTGGTAGAGAATGAAGCCAAAGGGACCTGCAGTTGGAGTAATGATTCACTAATGTGGCTCTGTCTTAAAGCCCCCTGGAGCAGAATGCCTTGCTGGTGGCTCTGTAAATACCTTAAATGTGTTTCATTAACCAAAGCAGAGATTAGTCAGCACAATGTCTGCCCTGGTATTTCAAATATGGGAGTTTCTGGCTTTCCCACTTGGGTGTGTATTGTGAAAAGAATTGAAGGTATGAAGAAAGAAGGAGAACGAGTGAAGAGACATAAGGCCAGGGTGAAGGCTGTGGCTGAGGAGTGGCCTGCTAAGCCCTGGAGGGTACCCCAGTCTGTAACTCACTGTGTCCACATTGCACTTGGTAGTGGGACTGAGGCCAGACTCCCAGAGGCTTTCTCTGGAAGACCTGGGGGTGAGGGGCATGCAGTCATGTTGGCCAGGTCGCAGTCAGGGAAAAGCTATGGATGCCTCCCCTTCCCATCCTGCAATTCACAGGATCACCCTGAGCACTTGATCTTCCTTTGAGATGAGCCTTACAATGCCCTGGATCTTCCTTTGAGATGAGCCTACACATCATATGGCAAGAGGGAAGAGAAAACAAGTCGCCAACACATACTGGTTAAAAATCTTTACTGGGAGAAAAAAGAAGAAACAGGCCTATTTCCAACATAGTGTCCTTTAAGGCATCTGAGCGGGGAGAAAAGCTAAATTCTTTTGTATTTGATTACCACAATGTGCAGTTTGAGAAAGCCTATTCAGTACATATGAACAACAAGTTAGATACTTGAATCCATCTAAAATGGTATTTCATTTCACTCTTCACTGCAGGTTTTCCTGTTTCAAAGTCCACCCTGGTCCAATAAAAGTGCTCCAAGCCTCTTGCTCTATGGAACTGAAGAGAAGCTGTCTGGATTCCCCTGATTAACACATTTCCTTTTCATGTAGATGTTTTGTTTTCCTTTCTGAACATTTGGATTTAATTCATCTAATCCCACAAATGGAGGAGAGCTCTGGTTATAATGAGAGCTTTACTTAAGACAGCTGTGAAATGTACAGTTCTCCAGTGCCCTCTACAGATCCAGGAACTCGAGAAGAGTGCCCCCACTCACTACCCAACTATTTAAGGGCCTCAAAAAATAAACCTCTGGGTAGAGATAGAGATCAGAGATTCTCCAGGCAGGTGGCAGGGCTGGAATATCAGGAGAGAACAGCAGAGTGGCATGTGTTATTTCAGAACATGTTCAACATTGATTTGAAAAGGAAAAAATATTGCTTTCATAAGCAATGAAATATTTTCATTTCATAATGACAAGAAGTAAAATGTCAACCAAATTGTGGCTGACAACTATGCACAGAAAGTAGTGTAATTTCTATAATTAACTAGGTATAAGACGTGTGTAGGATGCACTTATTCCTATTTTATATAAAATTTACCATCTTGCTGCAAAATAAACACTGTTGATAAGCATTTATTGTTCTAATTTCATATTTCTTTTACTTAAATGTAAACTTCAATTTTGTAGTTAGTATAATACAGGGCACAAAAAACAGAGTATTGACTAAGTTTTTGTTTTTTCTTTTTCGGTTATTGTTGAGTCATCCTGACTTTATAAGCTAGAAAGCAGGAGACTATCGAGAAAAATAATTTAGGTAGGCCTTGGCCCAGGGCTCCATTAAATAAAGGTAGATATTAGGCCACGAATGTAGGGGACTAGGGAAAACTAGAGAAAAGTTTACTTATTGGGGTTCAGGCATGAGCACAGATTGGAGGCAGTCCCAACACTCCAGCCCTTTGACGTAGCTCACACTGCCCTGTCCTCATGGCAAAGGACTCCCCTCAGTTCTCCTCTTCCTCCTCTGCTTCGAGGAGCTGAGATAGTGACGAAAAGGAAAAACCAACAATGAGGTTCTACCAGGTGTGGTTTTTCATATGTTGCAGATGGTAGGAATTGACTTCCTCTGCAAAATATCCCCCAAAGTGCTGAGCTGGGATGCTGCTTGGGCTTTCAACCTGAACCACATTTGAGTGAAAAAAATCACCCACATCTTCTTTTTAAAACCCTAAGAACTTTTTTCATCCTGAAAAGCAAACTTCCAGATACTTCACAAGCTCAGACATTAAGGAAAGACATTCATAGCTATCTGTAATGGGTCTGGGAGTTAACTGACATAACACGTTTCACTGTAACCAACGGAACACTTCATCACATTGAAAAAAAGTCTTTTGAAACCATGTTGTGTGAGGCTGGCCAAAAAACTGAGGAAAAATTCCAAAAATGTCTTTGTCCTATAGTCAAAGATATCATTTTTT